ATATAGAAAATAATAGAAAATAGAAAAATATAATATAATATAATAAAGAAAAAAATAGATTAGAATAGAATATAGAAAATAATAGAAAATAGAAAAATATAATATAATATAATAAAGAATATAATAGAAAAGAATAGAATATAGAAAATAATAGAAAATAGAAAAATATAATATAATATAATAAAGAATATAATAGAAAAGAAGAGAATATAGAAAATAATAGAAAATAGAAAAAATAGAATAGAATATAGAATATAATAGAAAATAGAAGAGAAGAAAAGAGAATATAGAATATAATAGAAAATAGAATATAAAGTATAATAGAAAATAGAATAGAATAGAATGGAGTGGAATAGAATAGAAAAGAATTCTTCATTGGCCAGGTGTGATTGGACACCCAAGGAATTTGTCTTTGGTGCAGATGCTCTCAGTGTACATAAGGAGAATAAATATGTTATTGTGTTGAACAACAAAGAGTTTCTTGTGTAATTCAACTCCCAACTCAACTCTAACCTGCACTTCAAAGGCAAACAATTTGCCTAAACAGAACAAGCCTTATGATAAATTAAAAGTGTATGTATGCAGAAGGTGGTGGGGTGGTGGGCAGGAAAAGTCAAGGAATAATCTACAATTCAGCTTCCTTTCCTTTTCCTTTTTTTAAATTTCAGGCCTGTTTACATGTAAAGCTGTTAACCCTTCATTTTGCTTTCCTTCCCCACCCTGTGGAAGAAAAAACCCCAAGGGTTTTGTCCTTAATTTTCCAAAACCGCTGTCAGTGACAGATTCCCTCTTGGCCTGCTCAAGTTCCACTAGTAAACTGATAAATATGGCAAATTAACTAAAATGATTTCACAGTTTTTTAGCTGGAAGCTGATTTCATAGTAAATTAAACATCCAAAGAACTGACTCAGAGCTAAAAAAAAAATTATATTTGGATCTGCTCGCTTGGTTTACAAAGACAGCTGAAGGATCAATTGAAAACAGTTGGTAGTATTTGTGACTGCAAATAAATCTTCTTGAATCAACAAAAATGTTGACTTTGTTTTCAGTGAAGGAAAACAACCAACCACTACTTAAATCTGACATAATGTCTTAAATTTTTCAAAGGTGAAGAGGGGGACACCCTGATTTTAAACTTCACATTCCTGCGTCTGCAGAACACAGCAGTTAATCTCAAAGGCATCATTACAAGGATTTATTTCACCCTCCTGTTAATCTGGCATTAAAAACCATGATTTCTAAAACTTGGGCCATTAATTCTTGTTGGCCAACCGGTTCCCCTTGATCTGAATCCTAGTCAGATTCACTGACTAAGACGTAGCCTAAGTAATCAGGGAAAGAAAATTGAACCCTGCCAAGCTTAGAATATAATGGATAGGCTGCGAGATCAGTCCTCAAGCCTTTTTTTAAACCTAAGTTGGAACATTTAGAAGAGCCGAGGTGGCGCGGTGGTTAAATGCAGCACTGCAGGCNATTTGCCGGTTCTCCGAACTACTCAAAATTTCCGCTACCGGTTCTCCAGAACTGGTCAGAACCTGCTGAATACCACCTCTGACCCAGTGCTGGGTTCCGGATCCTGTCGCAACCGGTATGCTGCGATGGGGCCGGGTGTCCACTACGTACATGTGTGCTGCACATGCATGCGCACTACCGTTCTGCAATGTTCCAGCTGCTCAGTGGAGCATCGTGCAGGCAGCGTACACTGCATGCGATTGTGCAAATTGCCTGGTCGGCTCAAATAGAGGTAAGGAGAGTGGGCAGGCGGGTGGGCCCTCCGCAGCACCGTACTGGAATGGTGCCTGCGGCTCCCAGCAGGCACCGGTACGCCCATAGCGGGGCATACCAGCCAGAACCCACCACTACTCTGACCTCACCTCTTCACTCCTGCCTTGTCCGTGGATAGCACGGTAAACAAAAGGAAATCAACTGGGCTATCGTGGGATCTTTCATTTAAAACCAGAGCCTTTTCAAAGAACAATCAGTTGTTTTCATTCATCAGAACAAGGGACGTTAAAAGGTCAGCCATGATGTGAGATTCTCGGGGCCTTCCGATCCAAAAGGATTACAGGATCATTGATGTACGATTGAGCACATTTGGGAGTTTTGCTTGCCAACGTACAGGTGGTCCTCGACATGCGACCACAATTGAAACCCTAAATTTCCGTTGTTGAGTGAAACATTTGTTAAGTGAGTTTTGCACTGTTTCACGATCTTTCTTGCCACGGTTGTTAAGTGAATCATGGTGCTTGTTCAGTGACATAGTGGCTAAGTGAATCTGGCTCCCCCCCTCCCTGACTTTGCTTGTCAGAAGGTCGCAAAAGGGGATCACATGACCCCGGGACCCTG